GGCGAGTTCACTCTATTATCTAAAACTCAGTCAAGTCTGGGAGCTCTGGCTCCAGAGGTAAAGGTTTCATTTTCATCTGAACTGAGTGCAACACAGAACTCAACATCCGGTGATCTATTTTTTCTAAAAACTAGGTTCACTTTGGAAATGACTGTCAGTCATCAATAAAGCTTCCCCAACAGAAAACAAAATGTTATTTAATGGGAACATCGGTTGGGTTAAACCCCAGTATTTTCATTTCATGTTTTTTAAAAGAACATTTAAACTAATTCAAAACTGAAATAATTTTTCTTCAAAGGGAAACACGGATTGTGTCCATCCATCACCACCTACAGGGATTCAAAAATTTTGAGCTGGAAGAGACCTAGTATCTAGGGTCCTCAGGATATTTCCCTCCTACCCCTAGGTGCCTTGAAGATAAGATCAAATACTGGTCATTTATACCTCCGTAGCTTTCAGACTCAAAATTAGGGATAAATTAGCTTCCTCTATCTAAAAAAAAATGTTAATAAGCTGGGGGAAAAAAACCAATATTTTTTCTGATTTACAAAATAAGGGATGCAAAGTCCTATTTTCCTGGCAACAGATATACATTATTTTGTCTTTAATTCAAGCATCTGTAAAATGAGGGGGTTGGACTAATTGCTCTCTCAGGTCCCTTCCTACTCTAAATCCTAAGCTCTTATCTTCCAACACTTATGAGAAGGAAATAAAGCTGTTATTCATGTGAAAGCGTATTGTGACTATTCAAATATAAAGTGGTAAGCATTACTAACCTTCTATCCTAATGTGCCAGGTACTTAAATAAAAGCAAATATTCTGCTTTAATAAGGACCAAAGTTGACAGGTTGAGAGAAATCTTTCCTATACTATGCGTAGATTAGTAGAAAAAGCACTAAATTTGGAATCCGGAAATGTGGGGTTTAATTTTGGCCATGCTACTAACATCCCATGGGACCTTATCCAAATTACTTAGATCTTCTGTTCCTCATTTTTTTCCTATCTGCAAAACAAAGGTAAATCCTTGTTGTCTTCCTATTTCAAAAGGCAACTGTGATAGCCCCAATGTGGAAACTAAGCGGTTGTCCTCATAGTGGGAAATGGCTAAACAAATCATGGTACATGAATGTAATGGAATATTATTGTGTCATAAGAAATTGGGAAGATCTTTATGAACTGATGAGGAGTGAAGTGAGCAGAATTAGAACAAATTATACAACGATAACATTAGAGAAAAACAACTTTGAAAGACTTTAAAACTCTGATCAATGCAATAATAAACTAAGAATCCAAAAGAATGAAAATGAAACACACAGCTTACCTCCTGACAGAGAGGTGATGAACTTAAAAATGAAGAGAAAGACATACATTTTTGGACATGGCTAATATGGGAATTTACTTTGCCAGACTATGTAGATATGTACTGAGGGATTTTTAAAAAATTTGCTCAGTGAGGGAGGGAAATAGTAGGAAAGATAGATTAATTATAAAAATACTCATTTCTTGAAAAATAAAAATAATAAAAAGGCTACTGTCAAAATTAATGATATGAATACAAATTGTTTTAACTCTTTGGTGCTGTGTAATTTTATGGTGTTATTTTTATTAAGAGGCTAAGGATGTCAAAAGAAGAAAAATAAAAGGAAAAAGGTGAACCATAAAATGTTGGCAGCACTGGAAGGAACACGTTTAAAACCTTCTAGTCCAACTCCCTTATACTACAAGTGAGGAAAAACCCTCTGAACTAGATAGAATATAAGGAAGGAAAATATAGGGCATTAAAATATTTATCTTGGCATTAACAAGAAAAATCTAAAATAGAGAATGGAAAACACACAATGGAGGCTCAGTTGAACTGAAATTTTCTTTCCACAATTTGCTGATCACTTGGTCTATCATTTTCTTTCCTTTTTTTTTTTTTGGTGAGGCAATCAGTGTTAAATGACTTGCCCATGGCCACACAGTGTCAAATGTCTGAGGCTGGATTTGAACTAGAGTCCTCCTTACTCCAAGACGGACTCTATCCACTACACCACCTAGCTGTCCCTGGCCTATCATTTTCTAATCTACTGGTTTCTACTTTTTGATCAGTGCTTTTATGTAAATTTAAGACTTTAACAAGAGTATTATTTTAAATGATCATCCTAAGACACAGGGATACCTTCATCCCCCCTTATCTCTATGGACACAAAGGGCTAAGTAACTTTTCTTAAGAGTTCCCAGGACGGGTGTCATGGACTTTTTTTTGGTAATATACCCCATCAATTTCACACTGCTACCATCGAAAGTGCCCATAATGCTCAGATGTTTTCAGTTTAACTGAAATATTAAAATGAAGCAAACAGGAAGCATCAGAAACAACTGCGGTAGTGACTTATTAATCATGAAAGCAGAATTTTAGTTGCATTTTAACCTTTTGCCAGGAAAAATAAATCAGCTTTGAAATGATAGAGCTATTGCTAGACAAATGCTGCCTATATGCCATCTAGATGACTAAATGATTTTTAAATTTTCTTTAGATATGAATTTGGATTAAAGAAGCTGAAAGTTTTCCTCAAAAAACCATGTCAACTTCATCAAAGCAAGTAGGCCTGCTAACAAAGATCTGCTAAAAGTAACTGTGCCACTACAAAACAGGAAAAAAAAAATTAAAGTAACTTAACAAATCAAAGTGATAGAACCCACCACACCTATGTCAAGATCAAGCAAAAACACCCCTCAATGAAGTCTCATGACTCCTTTAGTTCTACCAAGGAATAAAGGAAGAAAAGTATGGTTCTGCCCAGTGTGGCACTTTCATCATTCATCTAAAACTAGAGTCAGTGGGAGTGAGGCAGATAACTAATAAAGACAGCTTCTCTTCTCAGCAACCAATGACACACACCACTCCAGGCAGATCACAAAACAGCTTCTCAAATAAGACTCAAAATGAGGAACCAAACCTCCATCTGGTGAAGGGAATGGGCTCAACCAAACATTTTTATTAACAGGAAGACTAATCTGGAAGGTTTTGGGGGCTGTGGCAACACTACTAAACACTTTTACCTTCTTTTTGAAGGCTTAAAAAATCCTTCGGAATTGCTGCTTCAAACTAAAACCCTGTTTAGCTGTGTGACCAAGAGTATGTAGAGCTCTCCAGTCTTTTAACACTTTTTTCCTGAAAGAACAACCTAATGCACTTATTTTTAAAATTTAAAGTACACTTATTTTAAAAAGTAAATTACAATCCATTATGTTTTGAGAACTCTTCAAGAACTGTCCCCTTTGAGATAAAAATAATATGGGCTGATCCATACATTAGAAGAAGGGGTTCTAATGCAGGGGTCTGTGAACTTTTAAAAAAATTTTTTAACTGTAATCTTACGTATTTTATTCTATGCATTTATAAACATTATTCTGAGAGGGGGGGTCCCGAGGTTTCACCAGGTTGCTCAAAGAGGTCGATGACACAAAAAAGAACCCCTGAATTGGGGTTTGCTGAACTAAAGTCAACTAAAAAAACAAATGAGAAAGTAAGATTTCTGGGAAACAAAACAACCCACCAACAATAAATCCATTTCAGTTAAGGCAACCATCACTTTTTAAATGTGCACAGGTGATTCCTGGCACATAGTAGGTGCTTGATGACTGACAATATAGTATATGTTGGGTTTAATGCTAAGATTTCCCATTTCCAAATCAAACATTTCTTCTTCCACTCCAAGATTTTAAATCCACAAGACTGTATGCAGTTGTTGGATCTTGGAACTGGGAGTGAAGAGACCTGTACTCTAGAATCTTATCTCTGCCAGTAATGAGCTGTGTCACCTTAGGCAAGTTCAGTCTTCTTTGTCTTACTCTCCCTATAAAGAAGTTGTAAAGACAAGATAAGATCCACATGAAAACGCTTAGAAAAGCTCAATTCAACACAGACATTTATTAAAGGGCTTACTGGGTACAATGTAAGCTCTTTGAGGGCAGAGGCCACCTATCTTTGTTTTTGAATTCTCAGTCTAGCACAGTTCCTTGTATGATAAGTGATTAATAAATGCTTGTTGAATTAAAATGCAAAGCACTTTGTAGGCTTATGTCACCTTCAAAATAACATATAATAAAAACCAATATGATGAAAATTATTAAAATAATGTCCCTGCCCTTACAAAGTTTATAATAAGAGTAGAAGAAATAGAGCAATATTCAAATGTAAAGTTTTACCTCCTTCAAGTTTTTCTGAAAGACCTAGTTCTAGACAAGAGGTTGTGAATCTCTACTGAAATAATCATTAAAGTGACAGTCTAGATGGCTCTACCGGCCCTCTACTCTCTACCACATTAAATTTCATTTGCGTTTACACAAGTTGTGAATGTTTTACAGGATGTTTTACAAGCTTTCTTGATCTTCCTCGTATCCCCAGGGCCTAGTCCAGGGTCTGACCCGCAGCAGGCACTTAATGAAAGCTTAATAGAACTGAATTCTTTGTTTACATTTTAGCAAGAAACATATTACCGTTTTGAAAGTTCTTATTTCTTTTCCTTCCCTCCATTTGTCCCCTCCCTCTTCTTATTCCTTTGCCTACTTAGGCTTGAGAGTATTCTTTTAACTACCGTTGGGAGAAGCACTTTTCTCAAGTTTTGAGCATTAGGGATGCCTAGAAGACCAGGAATCTCTACCCCGGGACAAGAACGTCTCTAACTTAGTACTAACACTGTAGCCACTCGATTTGGGAACTGGGAGAGGGATACCCCCGTCCTAATTCCAAGACGTGAAGGGAATCACTCCATCCCGACCGAGCATACGGTAAAGAGATCCTCGGCCGGATAGAAGGATGAAGAATCCGCAAAGCTTTCCTAAGTGGGCTTTCGAGGCTCCAGTACCAGGGTCCCTGGATGGATCGAGCTTATGGAGGGAGGATGCTAGGGGGAGTGACACGCGTGGGCTTTTAGACAAGAACGTTTCTTCTGAGGGCCAAAGAATGTCAGGGCTGGAATGGAAGGTGGGCTCTTGGACAGCCAGGAACTCACCCGCCTCGCTTTACGAAGGAAGGTGACCCACCTCGGTTTACGGAGGAGGGTGACCTGGCGGGCTCTGAGCGGCGGAGGGGGTTTGTCCACGTTCCCCGGCCAAGTCGCTGGGCGGCAGCGCCGGGTTCTACAGGAGGCTAAAGCACGTCTGCGGGCACCCGCTTAGGGAGCCGAGTCTCCGTCCGAGGAGGCCCAGGAGGCGGTGGGGGGGTGGCCCCGGGCGGAGAAGGGCAGGTCCCCCCGCCAGATGTGGACCCCGGGGCTGAGGGACGGGCCGGGGCGCGGGCGCCGGGGCGTGGGGCAGGCAGCCAGGAGGGCCTCGCTGCCCAGGATCCACGAAGAGGGCCCGGGGCTCCGGCGGAGATCCACGCCCCGACGCCGAGGGGCCCCGACTCTCCCTGCCCCGGAGTCCGCGCGCCAGCCTGCCCGCCTACCTGCCGGCCCCCAGCGCCGCGCTCTCGTCTTCTTCCGCTGCCGCCGTCGCCGCTGTTGCTCGGCTCCGATCCCCTCACTTGACGGCTCTGGGCACCCGCCCCGCCCCGCCCCCAGGCTCCGACCTCGGCCTCGGGCCCCGCCTCTCCACCTACACTCGCCGCTCGAGGCTCCTTCCACGCGTTCCACTCGACTATTGACTTTCGGGGCGGGGCCCTAAGCAAACCCCAACTTGCGAGGAGAGTCCAATCGCCCGCCCCCTCCGAGTCGCTCCGCCTCCTGGGAGCAGTGATTGGTGAGGACGTGTCCTATCAGAAATGGGCGTTATTTCCGGACAATGCTTGCAGAGGTCGAGAGATCCTGAACCAGACTGGAGGAGGTGGTGGTGGCGGCGGCTTGAGGCCCGGACTAGGCTGGGGCAGCTGCAATGGCTAGGAACTGCACATGCGCCAATCTTTACCGGATGCTTTCCGGGGGTTACGGGAAGGAAGAGTGACCTTGCGCATGCGTGGGCTTTGGTTGCCTTGGAGACGAATCGGTTCCCAAGGAGGAGGAGCCTCCTCTCTCCCTTGCAAACCCACAGAAAACAGTAATGTTTAGTAGAAAACGCGATAGATTTATCATTAGAGAAATAAAGTTCAAATCCCAATTATGCTACTTACTAACCGCGTGAGCCTGCACAAATCACTTTAACCACTCAGTGCCTTCGTTTCCTCATCTGTAAAAGGGGAATGACATTCATACTCTGCCTCACAAGATTCCAACTAGATCGTTTAAATCCCCAAATGCGAGCTATTATTATTAACAGCGCCAGACACAAGGTCATAGATTTAGAGCTGAAGGAGACCATCTAGTGAAACCAAAATCCTCATTTTAAAAGATAAGAATCCGGGTTCAAGAGAGATTAAGTGACTTGTTAAGAGTCACAGAGCTGACAATTGTTAGAGACAGGATTTGAACCTAGATCCTCCTGACCCCTGGTCCAGCATTCTACCCACTATCACGATGCTTCTCAGGCAAGCAGTAGCAGGCACTTAATAAATGCTTGTTGAAGAGGCAGCTACGTGGTGCAGTGGTTAGAGTGGTTGACCTCGAGTCAGAAAGGCAGGTTCAAATCCAGCCTCACATACTTCCTGGCTTACAGCCTGCCTCAGTTTCCTCATCTGTACATACATAATAGCACGTGCCTGTCAGGGTTGTTGTGAGGCTCAAACGAGACAGTATTTGTAAAGCTCTGAAAGCCGCTTTATAAGTGCTAGCTCTTATTATTTAGTTTTATGCCATCTTAAGACATTTAATTATGCCCCAAGAAAAACTGACCTAACAGCACCCCTAAGTTTATTCTGGTACTGCCTGGCAGTCTTGATCACAAGTACGATCTGATGATATTGGGAATGGCTCAGTGCAACCCATTTTAACAACTGGTGAATAATAAAGATAACTCACATTTGGACTCTGAGTGGTATTGGTGAATAGCGGGGGTTTGGGGGTCAGGAAGACTTGTAGTCAGATCTTGCTTCTGACGTGTAGGCTACGTGGCCTTGGACAAGCCATTTAACTTTTTAGTGCCGTCAGCAACTCTCTAAGACTATAATTGCCCATCAGTGGGCAATCTGCTTTGATAAAAGGGAGTTTCCTCCAGTGAATGAAATCATAAACCTAGACCAAAAAATAACTCATATTTGTATAGCACTTTAGACTTTACTGTGTAATACGGTAAAAAGAATGCTGTTGTCTGGATCTAAGTCTAATCATCTATAAAATGAGAAGATTAAATTAGATGATCTCTAAGGCCCCTTCATGCCCAAAATGTATGATCCTATAGTAGAAACTCTTTAATATCTTCCAATTCAGGCTCTTCATCTCCACTGCCACCATCCTAGTCCACATTCTTATTACCACCCACCTGAACTATTACATTAATTCCTACCAGATATTCCAGCCTCCACCTTTTCCCATCTAATCTATCCTTCACATACCAGAATACTCTTCCTTATGTATAGAGATCTGGTCATGTCACTCCTCTGTTCAAAAATCTCCACTAGGTCCTTTAGGAAAGTTCAAAATCCTTTACCGGGCATTCAAGGACCCCCAGTAACCTTATATTACACTATGTTTCCAGCCTTACCTCTTACCACTCTCCTGCAAGTATTCTGCAATACAAGCAATTACTCTGTGACGTTACTTAGATTTTTTTCTTGTGTTCAAAATGTCTCCCTCTCTTCACCTGCTGAATTCCTATCTGTCCATCTTTTAAAACCTGACAAATAACACTTCCTCACAGAATCACAGGTCTACTTGAAAGAGGCTTCAGAGGTCATTTTGATGACATCAGCCAGGCTCTGCTGGAAGGCATTGAGTCATCACACATGTAGCTCATCTCACTTTGGACAGATCTAACTTATTTTTTCAGGCAAGAAGGGGAGGCAATCAAGTGATTTGCCCAGGATCATACAGCCAGTAAATTTCTGAGGTCAGACTTGAACTCAGGTCCTCCTGAGGACAGATCTAGTTTTGAGAAACATTTTTCCCTGTGTGGAGTTGAAATCTGCTTCTCAACAACTTCCACCCATTCCTCCTAGTGCTGCCCTCTGGGGCCAAACAGAACAAATCTAATCCTTCTTCCACATGACAGCCTTCCAAATACTTGAAAGCAGCTATCATGTCTTTTCAGTCTTCTTTTCTCCAGGCTAACCATCCCCAGTTCCTTCAACTGTTCATTATATAAGACATCTCTAGACTCCTTTCAACATTCTAATTGCCCTTCACTTTACATACTCTGTCTTCCTAAACTGTGCTGCCCAGAAATGAACACATCATTCCAGATATGGTCTGGTTAGGACTGCCACCTTCTTTGTTTTTAACACTGAAATTAGCCTAAGATCTTGTGAATTTTATTGGCTAACATATTCTCTTGTTGACTACTGGCGGTCCTCTAAAGTAGTCAGATCTTGCTTCTGACGTGTAGGCTACGTGGCCTTGGACAAGCCATTTAACTTTTTAGTGCCGTCAGCAACTCTCTAAGACTATAATTGCCCATCAGTGGGCAATCTGCTTTGATAAAAGGGAGTTTCCTCCAATGAATGAAATCATAAACCTTTTTAAAATTTTTAAAAATTTATTAAACTTTATTTGTAGAGCTATATTCTTTCACTTCCACCTCCCCACTGATTGAGAAGACAAGAAAAACAAAATCTTTATTATAAACATGTATAGTCAAAAAAACCCCCAACACCAAATTACTGAATTGGCCTTGTCTGAAAAAAAGAAAGAAAGAATGAAACAAAAAGTCAACCTGTTCTCTTGAGTCTATCACCTTTCTGTATGGATGTAGGTAATACGATTCATCATGAATCCTCTAGAATTGTGGTCAGTCATTTGCGTTGATCAGAGGTTCTAAGTCTTTTAAAGCTGTTTGTCTTTACAATATTACTGTTATTATATAAATTGTTCTGGTTCTGTTTTCCTCATTCTACATCAGTTTGTACAAGTTTTCCCATTTCTCTGAAACCATTCTCTTCATCATTTCTTAGCAGCATAACCCAGATATTTTTCACAGGAACTGTTGTCCAGATATATTTTCCCCATCCTGTAGCTGTACAGATTAATTTTTGAACCCAAGTACAGGATTTTACATTTATTGCTACAAAATTCATCTTATTTGATTCTAGCCTGCTGACATCTTTTGGATCCTGATTTTGTCATTCAATGTATTACAATGGGATGCAGCATGATAAGTTAGGAGTCTTCTAGATTCTAGAGAGAAAGATATTTTTGACAGACATGGCCTCAGAGACCCCTCAAATAAAACTGTGTAGATGGCTGACCTAGGCTTTATGATTTTTTGTCTATCCCTTGGTCACCTCTGATAACTGGGTCCCAGTTGAAACACAGTGTAGCACAGCGGGAAGAGTACTGGATTTGGGGTTAGAAAACCTGAATTTAGATGCAGGTTCTTCTCTTTCTTACCTGAGTAGCAGGGGGCTATCTCCAGTTGTCCTTATCACTGGACCCAGCTGGCTTTGGAGGAGAGAGTGAGGCTGGTGACTTTGAACAGCCTTTGTTACTTAAATCTAATTCACTTGTAAGTAATAACACCTTCCTGATGTCATTGGTCCTCTTCGAGAAGAAGAATGAACAGCAACCTGTGAGCAGTAGTAGCTACCCCACTGGAGATCCAACTGGCCAGTTCTAGTTGGGCAATGCAATTCCTTCCTTCTTTCCTTCCTTCTTTCCTTCCTTCTTTCCTTCCTTCCTTCCTTCCTTCCTTCCTTCCTTCCTTCCTTCCTTCCTTCCTTCCTTCCTTCCTTCCTTTCTTTCTTTCTTTCTTTCTTTCTTTCTTTCTTTCTTTCTTTCTTTCTTTCTTTCTCTCTCTCTTTTCTTTCTCTCTCTCTTTTCTTTCTCTCTTTCTTTCTTTCTTTCTCTCTTTCTCTCTCTCTTTCTTTCTTTCTTTCTTTCTTTCTTTCTTTCTTTCTTTCTTTCTTTCTTTCTTTCTTTCTTTCTTTCTTTCTTTCTTTCCCTTCCCTCTGTCCACATAGGGTATCATATCCTTACTTGTGGGTGCTCTGCCTAAAGGAATGTAAATGTTGATCCCTGAAACCTCCCAAGATATCTTGGGGTTTATGAGTTATATTTCTTTAAACCCAAATTACTTTGGCTCTCATTGATTGGCCAAGAATATATTCTAGGTCAAGTACCACTTGGTCATGTATGGGCCCTGATTGGTTCAGAATTAATGAAAAAGCAATCGTTTCTGTTTTGGGGGTATATGAGAAAGGTTGTGGAGGTAGAAACAAGATTTGGCACCACATTGGGTATATAGAATGAGATAATTATGAGTATGAGGGAGGGGTTGATGATGATTAGGATGGTGCTGCCCTTGAGAGTAATAGGGCACCCCAGAAGAGAGGACAGAGTTAGAGGGGAGATAATTTCTATTTTAGATATGTTGAATTTTGGATGGCTATGGGACAAGATTTCCAAAAGATAGTT